TGGGGCAGATGACTGTCAGATCTATAATCCATCTCAAGTCTTTCTCCTGTGATCCAATCCTGCATCAATAGCTGCCTGTTTTAAACTGCTGACATTTTAAATTGTATGCCCCTCAAACACAGTATATTTCTGACAGAATGCTTTTTGATTCCTCCAGAAAACCAACTCCTCTTCTGAATGTCTGTGGAAATACCACCATTCTTCCAGTCTCGCGGGTTTAGTACCTTGATGTTATCCTGAACTTTCCTCACTTGGTTAACTCAAGGGGCATTATTATGGATTTGCCTGGAAGATGTACTGAACTTGATAGCATGTTACAATGTCATTTGTGAATAGAAGGATTCAGAAACTTTGCCATTGACTGTAAATCTTTCTTTCATTGAGACCTTTTGTACAGGTGAAAAACATCTTCAAGTGTGGTGATCTGAATTCTGAGGAGCTGCATTTGTATTTTTCACATATTAATAATTTGTGTTAATTTGGACAAGTATCAAGTTCTCCAGGTTTCAAAATTAGGCAATTGGAACAGATGATCTCTAGGTTTCCTTCTTGCTCAAAATGCTTTGGTTCTCTGAAGGTTCCTAGAAAATTTCCTAAGAAAATCTGCCCCATTCCTTCTCTTGTTTATATCAAAGTTGTCCTCAATGTTTACTTAGATAATTAATATGTAAGTTGCATGAACTTGAGATAACAGGAATATTGGTTAGTAGTTTCTAATTTTTTTCTTTTCCCTTTTTTTTTTGTTTGGGAAAATACCCATTTGTGGTCTTTTCTATTCTCAAGTCAAGCTAAGGAAGCAAGCATTTATTGTTGTTCTTGTCGTTTTTGTTGTGTCTGATACTTTGTGACCCCTTTTGGGGTTTTGTTGGCAAAGATACTGGTGTAGTTTGCTATTTCCTTCTTCAGTTCATTTTGCAGATGAGAAAACTGAGGCAGATAGGATTAAGTGACTTGCCCAGGGTCATACAGCCAGTAAGTGTCTGAGGCCAAATTTGAACTCAGGAAGTCTTCCTGACTCCAGGTCCAGCACTCTGTCCACTATACCACCTAGGTGGCCAAGCATTCCCTGCTACATGCCAGAAATGAAGCTAAGCACTAGAGATAAAAAGAAAGGCAAAACCAGGCCTTTTTCTTAAAGATCTCATGGTTGAAGGGCAAGGAAATATACAAATAGTTATGTATAAATAAGATATATACATGTAGGAAAACTTGGAGATAATTTCAGAGGGAAGGACCTAACATTAAAAGGGATAAAGAAAGACTTCAGTCTACCCCTCTATGAGATAATTTTGACTAATTTTAAATTGGTATTATCTCTAATCTTTTGTGTATACTTAGACATAATCAGCAGTTCTCCCAGTCACTTTTTATAAGTAGTTTTTACTTCTTCATGATCATTAAAAATAAATGGGGGGGGGGGATTCTATTATTGTTGTCAATGGGATCTAGAGTTCTGTAAAAAAATTCTAGTAGAACAATGCCATTTTGCATCTATTTGTTGTTCTCCTTATAATTCATCTAAATTGTTTTGGTATAATCTGTCTTACCTGGGTCTCATGCAGAGATCTCCACAGAATTGTTATTTTTTATCAACTACTTTTTGTTGTTTTATGGTACAGTATTACTTTTAATCTTTTAACTACTCTCTTCTGTAGTGTTTTACAAATGATATTGTACTCTAAGCCAGTGTTGGATTTCATTTCTGTCTGTTTGGCAAGGACATTAAGCATTTAGTGGCTAAGATGTAATTTGTGGAATCTTTGCATCTCCTCTTTATTGTGACAACTTTCATAATTGGTTAAGTTTCTCCCAGAATTTATAATAGAAATGTCTTCTCTACATTTTCAGTTGATAGCTTGTTTCAGTGGCTTGAAGTGGAGCTGCTGTAATCACACTCTGTAACTTCCTCATTTTCATTCATTCTTTTAGTTAAATGTTTATTTGGACCTTTGTCCTGACTAGTTAATTATGTGACTTGTAAATATACAGCTAATTGTGAAATGACTGCTATGTCAGTGGTTATTCTTGTCCAGTCTATTTTAATGGACTCTATTTAATTTTTATATGTTATCCATCACATCTTCTTTGCCTACCCTCTTTTTGATAAAATTAAAAATATAAAGGTGTAATTTATTTTTTCTTTATATTAATAAAAAGTACTGTGTAGTGGTAAAGTCTTTGGCTTTCTTTGTTTCTTATACCTCTATGCCAGATAAAGTAGGCTTTTGGCTCTTAAGGGAGAAATGCAACAATCCATTCAAAATTTTTGTTCTGAATTTGTTGTGATCATTATATATGGACATTTAAGCTTGTTTAATCATCTTGTTTTTCAATTTTGAGATTTCATTAATGAGGTCTTTAGCATAAGATGCTGCCTAAATCCACAATCCTCAGTTTTTTCATTTGACAGAGCCCACAGTTACATTAAAACAACAGCAACAACAAACAACAACCCAAACTTCTTAATCACTGTTTTCATTTTCATTATTCTCATGTCTTCACATTTGTGGCATTGCTTCAGTGGATTTTTGATCTCATGAAGGTGGGTACTTGCATTGTGAACCATAATCCACTTATGCAATTCTTTTCCATATTGTGCTATAAATTTCCTACTGAGGGATTTACCAGTAGGCTAGGTTCTTCTTCTAGGTCAGGGATTCTTAACCTTTTTTTGTGTCATGGACTCCTTTTTCATCCTGACCCCTTCTCAGAATAAAGTTTTAAAATGAACAAAATAAAATACATGGAAATATAAAGAAAACCAATTACACTGAAATATAGTTATCAAAATATTTTTTAAAGATGTTCCAGGACCCCATGTTAGAACGCTTGGTTGTTTTTTTTTTTTTTTTTTAACATGGGAGGACACCAGTGTAACTTTTGGGCTGTCTTAACTACATATGCTTTATTATTTACTTTTTAATATTTTAAGAACTCATGCTTTTATCATATAAATATTTTCTCTACTAATATAGTTTGGGAAACCCTCCATGTCTTAGTAGACTTTCTTTGTGAATTACTCTGCTAAAAAAATCATTTTCAGTGTCCACTCTATTGATGAGTCTTTCAGGTCTACAATCCATTCCCAGCTAGTACTTAAAACCTTTACAGATTTGTAGACTTTGCCAGTGCCTATATCCCAGTGGTATAACCTAGGGTCACTTATCTGCCATGACGAAATCTCAGAGGAGGCTTTAGTGCAGAAATTAAAAGCTTTTTATTTGAATGAAAATTATATCTTAGAATGTAGAGAATCACTATATCCAATATGTATATATTGTGAAAAATTTTATTTTTCCAGTTTTAGTGCAAGTTTTTGTGTGACTCAGGAAAAGTCATTTCAAGTTTATTTGCTAACATAATGAGGATAATTACACTCTGCAGATCATGATCTGTTTGAAAGATGTTAAATGTCAAGTAAGGTCAACATAGAAGAAATGTTTTTAGAAATAAGATTTGTTTGGCTTGGCAAACCAGCAAATAAAGAAATATTTGCAAACACAGTATGTGGTACTCAAAAATCCAAGAATAAGGAATATAGAGGTTTGCATGAGTTGAGTAGAAGGGAGAAAATAATTTAGAAAAGTGTCAAAAGGCTTTGAATGTCAAAGACTTTATAATATGATATACAAAGCAAATTAGGAATAAAGTAATAACTGTGGTGAACATTTCATAACAAGGTATAAATAAATAGTAGGGATAGTGACTAGACTTGTGATTTCTTTGGTACATGGAATCCTATATGAGGAAACTTTCATTATCAATGAAAATTGTTACTTTTTTTTTTTTGGCAACTTTGTGTTAGAGAGTGCCTAGAGAACAGATAGGTTGACTTACCTAGGATCACACAGCCACTATATATATATATATATCAAAGGTAGATCTTCTTGGTTCTGAGTCCAGCTCTCTTTCCACTATAAAACAGTGCTTCTTGTATAAATAAATAATATTGAGAGAAAAATGGCTATTAAATTATAAGATCATGGGAAACAGGTATGCTCATGTCCTTGAGAGATTTAGACTCCAACAATGTCAATCAAAAATGGTCTCATAAGAGATGATCTCATAGAATTTAGAGTATTTTGTCAACAAAGTAAGAAATAAATGATATTTTTCAATAGTGACACAAAAGAAATTAAACATTTTATATCAGGATTCTTAGAAACATAAATTGAGAATTATGGGATGCGCCAAACCTTTAATTAAATGCAAATTTATGAATATTGGATCCCTAATGATAGTAAGAGAATCAAGGGATGAGGCTTTTTTTTTTCTTGTAAGGAATAAAATTTTTGTTCTACTAATTCTACTAATCTTTTTTGTTTTCTGTGATCACTCAGTAAATATGTTGTGAGATGTAAATGTCAGTGGAAAATATTGAAATAGTATATGTTCATGCGTTTTAATGATCTCAGATATGTCTGGTTGAGAATGCCCTAAGCATCAATAGGTTTCCTGTAAAAATTTTTTCAAAGATTTATGTTGTTAAAATTTGAAGCATATAAGTATTTTATCTAACAGAAAAATAAATGTTAAAATAACACATTGAGCAGAGTATTTCACTAAAAATAATTTTATAATATATTATAGAGTAACAAGCTATTGGTTTATTTTTCTGGATTTATATTCTTATACTTGTCACTCATAAGAATCAGATAATAGACTGACATTTTGTAGAAAATTCTTAAATTTTAAATCATGAATTTGAAATGGAAATCATTTGTAAATGATTCCTACTTGTATGGATAATGTGAACGTATTTTCCACTTGATTTTTCCTCCTTATGTGTTTGCAAATCTCTTTGATGATATTATTTATAAAAACTATTTACTCAGACCTTAGGTTATTTGAGAAAATGTTGCTTTTGAAATATTTGAGTTTTGTTTAATCCTTGCACTTAATGGGGAAAATGGATTGTTAGTAAGTAGAGCCTTTAAACTTTCCACTGATTTGAATGCTTGAATTATTTTAAAATAATTTGGTATCTATTATTTTTATAGGATTTTCAACAGTCATCCTTATCTAGTCTAGAAACTTTAATGGTGTCACAAAAGTCTGAAATTGACTTTTTACAGGAGAAGTTGAAAATAGCAAATTTTAAACTATCAGAGAAGAATTCCTCTACCAGTATTCACATAGGAAGCATCATCTCAGGAGCTGGAAGAATACATGAGGTAGAGTAGTTTTACTATAGTGTATATGTCATGATGATTTCAGTCAAACAGTTTTGCTTGGGGGAAGGTCAAAAAAACTCCACAAAACAAATTTTCATTTACTACTTCTTATTTTAAAAGCTTATTTAAAGGAATTATCTTCTAAAGACTCTCTAAAATAATCAGTCATTTTAAAGTAGAAAGTTTTACTTTGTTAAAACATCATAAATTACTTAAAGGATCATTTATTATTAAATTATTATTATTATTAAAATTAATATTTGTCAGGTTCTATATAATTTATTGATGACCCATATGCTTATTTTTCCCTGAAAGTGGACATACATTTTGTTGATATTAAAAATCAGTAGTAGGTGTAAAGCTGGTCAAGTTTGACCCATTCATTTCAACTGTTAAAGACTTTTGATCTCAAGATAAGAAGACAGTCGTCTGTATTTTAAAAACAAGAAGTTTCAAAATAACTAATCTTTCATTTAGATATTATATTTTACAAATGAAAGGTAGTATAGTGTGTGAATATAGAGCTGGCCCTAGAGTGAGAAAGTCTTGACTTCAAGCCTAGCCATTGGCACGTAACTGGTTGTGAGATACTGGGCAAGTCATTTAACTACTCAGTGTCCAAGGAAACGTAATATTATAGGTTGTTGAACAGTTGCTGATCTGTATTGTAGAAGGCATTTCCTCCCAGGGAATTGCCAAACAAATCAAATCACAACTTCTCTCTACCTTCCTACCCTATTTACATGTAGTAAAATAATGTTCAATCTTTTTCCCTCATCACAGATACAAAGAGGAACCTCTATATTGTAATTAATGAAGAAATTGAGAAATTTAGAATAGTATAATTACTCATGTAAAAATGTTCCTATCATTGTTTTCCTTTTAAAGTAATCATTGCATGTGTTGGCATTACCTCAAAGATAATTAGAAACTTTTATCTAATTAAAGTATCAGTGTAACAATCTTACGTTGAAAAATGTTGTCTCTGGATCAGTTAATAAAACCATTTTTTCTCCTCAAAATAAGGAGTTTCAAAATGCTTCTCTTCAAGTTTTGTATTGCTTAATTATTTTAATCAAAATATATTACTTTGATAATGATATCTTTTTCTATAAAAACAATGAGATTAAGGTATTTATTAATTCAAATAATTTCTGCTTTTAGCACTTGCCAATTTGTCTTATAAGCTCAACAAAAATCTTGATAATAGCTATAAGACCCAGAGATCGATGGTGGCATTTTATTTGCTTATTCTAAAATAAACTGTAGTTTTTCGAGAAAATGTTCATTTGACATAACTACAGTATTTGACTTTTGCCATTTTTTGAGTATAGACAAGTCCATAGTGATAAAATACATTTAAATTAAAAAAAAGTATAAAACTCTGAATTAACATTTATAGGTCCTAATTTTAGTTTGTTGTATGTTACTGAAGTTGAAAAATATACCTCTGGACAGTTCATTGTTTCTCATAAAATTTAGAAAATAAGAGGGAATATTCTGAATGGAACTTTATTTCTTTTTTTCATGAGGACATGAAGTATGAACAAGATGCTGCCCAGCTTAATAGTGGTGCTTCATATATTCCTTCTCCAGATTGCTATATGAAGCTGTACATAATATAAACACATATTCTTGTCTCTAGTTAGCCACATTATAGTTAATGACCATATGGTCATTATGGTATAAGATCTACTGTCTGTTGTATTTATATTCCTCAAGCATATTGTTCCTTCAACTTCACAGTGTGTTAAACTATTTCAAAGGGAAAAAAAATCCTTTCCCTCTTGTTTCTGGTTGTCCTATCAAGTGTAACCTTGGACCCTTATAGAGCAATTAGACCAGCCTCCATCCCCTCCTTTGTAATGAGGTTTCTTGCATTTCTGAGTCTATAACCCTTTAGTCTTCCCTAATGGGACATCATTATTCTGAAAGAAACAATGTAAATGTAAATGAATATTCTCATTAACGAGTCACAGAGAAACCTTTAGCGGTAGCACTGTGGTAATTCTGCTTGTTATTTCTCTGGTATTCCATGCAGGATTTTTTTATAATCCATTATTAGTATTCAAAATTACTTGTTCTTTAATTTTGCATGTCTTTCATAATCCAGTGTTCCAACTACTTCAACCATGTCCTTGTTTTATTCTCGAGGAACCACCTGTGAAACGTTCAAGGTCTCTGTCCCCAAAGAGGTGTTTTAAAGACTCAGAGGACCTCAAGAAGCTTAAAGCTGCTGAAAGGAAGATTGAAAACTTAGAGAAGACACTGCAGCTAAAGGTGAATGTTAAAAAAAATCTCTTTAGTGTTAACCTTGCAGAGATAAAGATATAACAAAACAAATATACACTTTGTAAAATACTGCATTTGTATCTTATTATGTATTTGAATTACTGGGAGAAAAATGTCAGTACTTGGTTTCATTTTTAAGAGTTCTAAGGATCATACAGTAAAGAAAATGCTAGATGCTGGTAAAAATGAATGTAGATTGTCCATTTTTTCCATTATGTGAGAAGGTTTTAGTGGGAAATATTTTTGTTTCTAATTTCCTGGTTATAGGCATATTGTTTTATACACACACATACACACATATGTTTATATATAAACATCTGTTTATATATGTATACTTTTGTGTGTGTATGCAGACACATACATGTAAATTACCTATAGAGGGAGAATACACACACACATACATACATATATACATACACACACATATATATGAAAACATATATGTGTGTATCTATATTTATATATTTCTTTTCCCATTATTGGTACAGTTTATAAACCCTCTCTGATTTAATGTATAGGCCTTAAGAATTGCTGTATAGTGGAAAAATTCAGTACCTCTCAGACAACTTGGTGACATGCCTCCCCTAATTAAGCTGGTACTCAAATCATACAATCCCCATGCCATACTCAAGTCTTTTGTAGCTTGGTAGAAACTGCTAGAATTTGTACTCCACTGGCATGGGCTTTGAGGAGCCAGGGTCAATACCACCTCGCAAGGAAGTGTTGGAACAAGACTTGTAGAAAGTTAAAAACAATTTATATTGAAAACATGTAAAAATGAAAATTTATTGACCACATTTACAGAGCATTAGGAAAATAGATTTGGAGGTCAGAAAGATCTTCCATGTCATCTAGTCCAACCTCATTTTACAGATAAAGAAACTGTTGTCATCAATTTCCTAGGCTTACTCAGTATAAGTATAGGGTCCAGGTTCTCTGACTAAATTCAGTGCTTTTTCTATTACATCAGGCTGCCACCTCATTGTTTGGTTTCCTTCCAATTAAGCTGTAGAGATAATTATTTAATCAGAAATTCAAGCAAGTATAATTTCCATTTTTTGCCATTACAAACTCTTCATATATGTCAAAATGTGTTATATTTAAATCAATGTATTTTTGTTTTGTTAGAATTAGGCAATAAATCTGTTGCTGAGGAGACTGAGGCTAACTTGTTTGGTAGTTTTGAGCTTCAGTAGTGCTAAAGCCAATTGAATCTTTTACTAAGTCTTATATCACCAATATATTGAGCCCCCAGGAATTGGGAGCTACCAGCCAGCTTAAGGAAGTGTGAACCAGACTAGGTCAGAAATGGGGCAATCACCCACGTGGGTGTCCTTTCTTTCTTCATTTATCCCTATAGGCCAGAACTTAGGGTCCTATTGAATGTTTGAACTTTAATTTTTTATTAAATTATGTAGGAGGTGTTTGGTACTACAGAAGATTTGAATTCATTCTATTCAGAACTTAATATTCTGTTGAGGTAAAAATATTTGACTTGGACTTCATTGATATAATTTCAGAAACTAAAACATGCCTACATATTATAATATCAATCAATAATTAAGTATTACTCTGTCAAAAAACAGCTTGTATGTGATACTACTTAAATAGTAATTTGTATTAATTCAGAATGAAGCTAAACATTCTACAAAAACATTATGACTTAGGGGGGGTATTCCTATCATATTTTAAATGTATAGCTCTAGTTTATTTGTGGACAATGCATGATGCGTGTAGGTTTCTTGCCAAACAGAATTTTCAAAGTATTTCTCTTATTTTGGTTTGCTTATACAACATCTTGAGACTTTGAGCAATTTAATAAAGCAATAATTTTTCCTTCTGGGAATTTGTAAATCCCTGCTTTTGCCCTTAAACCATGGAAGTGATTCACACCCACATAGCCCTTCCAGAAATCTGAGCTCAAACTATTTATTTTGGACTGAAGGTTGAATAGGAACTCAAGTAGGACTTCAGTCAGCTCTCTTCTCTTCACCTCTCTCTTTTCTTTGAAGCCCATGTTCCAGTCATGTTTTCCCCACATGATTTGTATGAAGGATGACAGTATAGAATAAAGGAAGGTAATAGGAAGAGCACTGAATTTGGAGGTATAGAAACTAAGTTTAAGTTCTGTATTATAACTTTAGGAAAGACATTTAACCTCCCTGGGTTGCAGTTACTTTGTCTGTAAAATTAAGGAGTTTAGGAAAAAATTTTGATAAGCAAGATAGCATCCACAGTCCTTTCCAAGATTACTGACTTAGAGGTTATTCTGGGTGCCAAGGTACCATCCTAGTGAAGCAAATCATTCTCAAACCTAGCAAAGTTTCTGCTAGTTCAGGGACTTGTTTTAAAAAAAAAAACACTCCTCAAAAAAGTTTTTAACATATTACCAACACTTAGCACAGGGCCTGGCCCAAAGTAGGCTAGACTGGTGAAAGAGGCTTATCACCAATGTTGGCCTGATGAGGATGGTAATGTGTGTGTATGTCTGTGTGTATATATCGGCCATAGTAACTCATGACATTATCTACTGTGGAATATAAAGGATGTGATCTGTTCTGGGAGTACCCTAATCACAGATCTTTTGAAGTATTGAATTAGGCTATTAGAGGAGTCAAAAGTATACTGAGATATCACAAAATCACAGAATTTTAGAGTTGGAAGAGAACTCAGAGGTCATTAGTCCCATTCCCCTCACCTCCATAGCATTAAAAAGAATCATCCCAACAACGTAACCCACAAGTTATCATCCAGACTGCTTGCAGAACACCAATAAGGGTTAACCTATTTCCTCTAGAGTCAGCCCGTTCTAATTTGGGATAGCTCTAATTATTAGAAAGTTTTTTCTCATCTTAAAATTGTTTCTTTTCAACTTTTACCTTTTTGCTTCTGATTCTGACTGGTAGGAGCAAATAAAATATTTCTAATTTTTTGATACTTGAATATAGTTATCATTCCCCTTCTGAGTCTTCTCTTCTGCAGGCAAAACCTCCAGTGTAACTTCATATGATCCCCCTATGGTCTGGATATAGGGCTCTTTGTTGTTGTCGTCATTATCATCATTGTCATCATCCTGATGTCTTTTTCCTTCCAATTTTTACACTTTGAGTTTTATTAATGTGTTTTTTAAACATTACAAACATTTGCAGATTACTCCCACTTCATGAGACGTCTCCTGTAACAAGGTAAAGCAGTTAAGTGAAACTAATATACGATGACCTCCACATTTCATGTCTGTAGCATACCCACCCCTTTCTCTATTTTTAAAAATTAACAGAAATCTAGTTTCTCTGTCTCTTATCTCTTCAATCCCGTGGGGGAAAAAGAAAAGAAAAATAAGGTTTCTTGTGGCAAATACACATGGTCAAGCAATACAAAATCTTTCAATGGCTGTACACAAATATCGATAGATAGATGGATAGAGAGATATTTATGTATATGTCATTCCACATCCCTAAATCCATTGCCTCTCTGTAATGGATAGCATGTTTCATCATTAGTCCTCTGGAATCATTAATGGTCTTTTTATTGATCATAGCTCTTACAGCTTTCAAAGTCGTTTGTACAATGTTATCTTTGTATGAATTGTAATTGTCCTCTTGGTTCTGTTCATTTCATTTTTCATTGTTCACGAAGTCCTTAAAATGATTCATTTTTATAATGTTGATATTATGGTATAAGTTGTTCTTATGTTTAAAAAATCTTCAGTTATTTTTATAGACATGATAAGACTTGACAACAGATGGTATTTGTGAGTTGAGTTCAAGTAAGAAATTGAGGATGACACAGAAGTTATGAACCTAGGTGACTGGAAGTGATAGTGGTACCCTTGAATATAATAGGTGAGTATGGAAAAAGAGAGGTTTTGAGAGACAAGATGATGAGTTCTGTTTTGGACCTGTTCAGTTTCAGATGTGTGTAGGACATACAAATCAAAATGTTTAATAGGTAGATAATGATGTGAGGCTAGGAGTCAGGAGAGGGCTGGATAGATGGGAATCATCTGCATAAAGATGATAATTGAATCCATGAAAGCTGATTAAGAACACCAAGTAAGATAATTGTGAGGGAAAAGAAAAGAGAGACCAGGAGAGAGTCTTGGGGAACACCCATGCTGATATGACCTAAAAGTGGATATGACCTAAAAAGAAGGTAAAAGAGACTGAGAATGATAAGACATGTAGGAGGAAAACCAGGAGAGAATGGTGTCAAGAAACCTAAGAGGAAAAGGGTGAATGAATGACTGTGTCAAAGGTTGCAGAGAAGTTAGAAATTATTAGAATTGGGAAAAGGCTATTTGATTTGGTAATTTTAGAGAGAGCAATTTCAGTTAAATGATGAGGGCTGAAGATACACTGCAAAAGGATTATAGGGAAAGTGAGAAGACAGAAAGTGGGGCATCAATTGTGGGCAGCTTTTTAAAGGAGTTTGGCCATAAAAGGGAGGAGAGACATAGAATGATAGCTAGCAGGCATGGTTGGATTAAGTGAAGGTTTTTCAAAGGGTACAGAAGTGTGGTCTTACTTGTAGGGACCAGGAAAGCAGTCAGTAGACAGAGATTGAAGATTAATGAGAGAGTGGAGTTGATGTGGCACTCTACTTGAAGACAGAGTGGAATGGGATCAAAGGTGCATTTTGAGGGTTTTGCATTGGCAAGGAGAAAGATCATTTCTTCATGAGTCAGGGGAGAAGGTTGAAATAGTGGGGGAAGACATCTGAATGGTATGACATGAAGAGGAGGGGAAAGAAGGAACTTTTTGCAATTGGCCTCAGTTTTTTCAATTGAATGTGAAGTGCCTCCTTTAGCTGACAAATTGAGGAGAAGGGTGCCATGGGAGGCTTGAAGACAGATCAAAGAGTTTGGAAGTGCTTCTGTAGTGAGTCAGCCATTTGTTTAGGGACATATAAAGGCATTGCCTGGCTGCAGTGAGGACACAGTTGAGATTATGTAACATAAATCTGTAGTGTACTCAGTCAGCAGAGTAGTT